TACGAGAAGGGCTGGTAGGTCCCATCGTTTCCCTGTGGGGATGGATGAAGGGGCAGGAGGACGGTGTGACTGGTGCCGTGCCCAGGCAGAGGCATGATTTGGGGCTTGGATGTGCCTGGCCGGGCGCCTCTTGGGAAAGCACGTGGCTTCAGACCATTAAATCTGCCCTGCCGCTAATCCAGGACCACTCGTCAAGGCTGATAGCTGCTAAAAATAGGTTTAATGGCAGGAAAAAACGGCGTTTGGACAATCTGCCATGCAGAGGGCTCTGCAAAGCTTCAGCACGGGGAGGTGCGCTTGGCTTTTTACGCTGCGAACCCCTTTCCTCCAGAGCAAACCTTCCCGTCCGATGATGCCTGGGGGAGGGAGGCTTCCCGGCCCCCGAAGCAGCCGTCGGACGGGGACACGGCTCTGGGTCATTAGCAGCCGGGCTGGCCCCCAGCCAGTGACCTAGTAGTGAAAGGCTCGATCCCATTACCCTCTCCCGCTCCGCCAGAGCCCTTGATTACATTTCCTAAGAGGTGGAGTTAGGCGGAGGGGGGTAATGCCTGCTCCATATGCAGCGCTTGGCAATCTGGGTTACGGTGCCATTGCCGGGGGAGCAGGTGGGGTTACGTGTTTCAGCAGGGAGGGAGCAGAGCTCCCAAATCTGGTAGCTTTTGCCCCAAGAATGTGCTTAAGGAGGGGGCACCCCTGCACCCTCCATTCCTTCTTCCTAAACACCTTACCTTTACCCCCAGCTTAGTGTTTTTGCATCAGCAGGGCAGGGATGCTGCACCCCAAAAAAATGCACTCATCCCTCAATGCATCGTAAGCCCCGTCAGGATTTTCTCGTAACCTCGCGCTGTCGGTGTCTAGACGAGATTGTAGAAATACTCGCTCTTCTTATTAAAAGTAACTTTTTTTTTTTAAAAAAAAGCTTCTTATTAAAGAAAGTCTAGATTCTCTCCAACCCACTCGCACTTAATTAAAAAGCTCTTAGAAGCACTGTTAATGACACATTCTAGACTGGAGGATTGCGAGGCGCCTCGCTGCGTGGGTGGTGCAGCGTGGCGGGGGGGTAGGTACGTATTTTAAGCTTTTTGCATCCCATTGGGAAGGGTGGGGGTGGCTGATGCTCAGCGAGACCCACCCTCGATGAGACGCGAGCTGCGAGTACAAACAGATTGGAGGTAAAAGGGCTCACGGCAGCCCGGCCACCGGTCCCTTCTCCCGTCTGGCTTGCTGCAGTTGGTGTGTTTTAGGGCTCGGGAGTGGAAATAGTTTGCACTGCTAGTGTGCAAAACCGGGCTGCAGGGCAGGCGGGTGGCTCGCTGGGTGTGCACTGCACCACGCGCGTGTGCCGCAGGCTGAGCGTGGTGGGGCAGCTTGGGCTTCAGCGTGGATGTGAGAGCGGGGGTATTTAATGTTCTTCTTAAGTGCAACTTTTAACGAACCCCAGGTAGGAACACCCTGGGTGTGAGTAAAGCCTCCCAGAAATGCCAGGTATTACAGCGGATTTGTGTGTAGCAAGCCTGGAGGTAACAGCCTCCGGGAGCCAAGGTGGTCTTTGGGTTTGGAATTCGTTATAAAAGCCATGCAGATCCTCCGAAGCCGGGTGGTGGGGGAGAGGTGGGCTCCTTCCTTGTGCTAACGCGGCGGTGCTGCTTTCCCAGATCCTGCCCGCGTGGTGAACATGCCCCCCGTCATCTACGTTCCCATCGGGATACACGGATACATCCGCTGCCCGGTCGAGGCAGAGCCCCCGGTCACTCTGGTCAAGTGGAACAAAGACGGACGTCCCCTGCGAATCGAGAAGGTAACGAAGCCCCCAGGGAGGGACGCGTGGGGGCGCGGGGAGGTTCGGACCCTCGCGTCCTCTGCAAACACCAGTGAGCATCACTGAGCACCCTGTGGGTCCAGCCCGTTGCTGGGAGAGAAGAAGCCCCGTGGGTGGGATGCTGCTGCTTTTCCTTATCAGCTGTGGGCAGAGTTAATTCGGGTTCTTGCGTGGAGCCCAGGGCGCCTGTAGACGTGCTGTCTGCCTCTCCCAGACCTAATGCCTGCTTCCCTCTAAAGTGACCTCCTAATGGCCCTGTTTTTTTTCCAATGGCAACTGATAGTTAAAAGACCCTTTTAACAAGTCTCTGTCATCCTATAATCACGGTTTGATAGTCTGAGCAAGGATATTAGCCATTAAATATTTAAAGAAAACACTCGGTATTTTAAATTTTTTGCTTCAATGTTAACGATCTAAAGTTTTAATTCCACTTAAACCTGTTGCTGCTGTGGGTTCTTCGCCCTTGGTGCCCTCAGCCCTTCTGGTGGACTCATCTCCTTGGTGCCACCGGGGCGAGTTTTTCTTGGGGTGTGATAGATTCTGATGTTCGGTCTTTTGGGCTACTTGAAGAAGCCTGGCTGTGTAGTAGGGAGGGGAGCAGCAGCAGCATAAGCCCACATGTCATCAAGTGCATGCAGAGCAGGGCAACCCTCCCCGGGAGGGCTGCGTTCGGACCGGCTGATCTTGCCCACGTTTTCTTCTCTCTGCAGTCGAGGAGATAGCTGGGATGCTGGGAATTGAATTTGGCATCTCCCGGGGACGTGACAGCCGCCCTGGGCTTAGGTGGGGGGCTTGGCTGAAGAGAAAATAATGAGCTGTGGTGGGCGTAAGATAAGTCAGCTCCCTCTTTCTTCCCACCGCAGTATTCTGGCTGGAACCTGCTGGAAGACGGGTCGATCCGGATAGAGGAGGCAACCGAAGATGCTCTCGGCACTTACACCTGTGTGCCTTATAACGCCCTGGGTACGATGGGCCAGTCTCCCCCTGCCCGACTGGTACTGAAGGTAACTTGCTGGGTAAAATCCTTGCTCTGCAGCCGCCAGATTTGCCTCTCGGGTCGTGCCCTCCTGTGGGCCGGTCCTGTGCCGAGAAGAGCTCTCAGGGCTGTGCGAGGTGCTGGAGTCCCAGGCCAGGCAGTGTGAACGCGTGCGTGCTTTGTGGAGCTATCTCACGCTGTAGTTTGGCTTTTTTAACGTGGAATTTGCAGTGTGCATGTCTCCCTTCCCTCCTTCCTGTTCAGCCCAGTGCTGCAGGGGAGGAAGAGGTGGGTTTTGGTTTTGTGTTTTTTCCCATGCTGCTTATTTGGTGGTTAATTCTGTGTAGAAATTGAGGTTTTACATTGCTTTCCTGAGCACTTCTGTATCAAGTGACCTGAAGAAGGGCTCTGCACCCCCAAACTTGTCTGCTTTTCGACCTACGTGACTTGGCTTAGCAAAAACCTATTCCTCTTGCTCTGAGCCTATTCTCTATTACCTGTGCTGAGAAAGGCAAGTGCGGGCCCTTGCGAGCATCCTTGAAGGGGGACACCAGAGGCTCTGTGCCGTGGTCGGAGGTGTGCTCCCCCCCAGGACAGGCAAGCCCCGAGTGCACCCTGCCTAGTGCAGCTGGAAATACCCTGCCGGCACGGTGGCACAGGTGCCGGCACGGTGGCACAGATTTTGGCACGGGCCAAGCCGCAGCCGGTGTATGATGAGTATAAGGCTGTGGTAGCTCTGGACCAGGGTAGTTTGAGGAAACGTGTCCCTGGGATGGCCTTTTAGCCAGCGAAACACTTAGCCCTCCTGACCTGGGCTTGGGTTCAAGGAGGAGTTTAATAAATGGATGATTTGAGCTCTAGAGACGCTCCGCATGCTCGTGCTGCGTGCGGAGCCCGAGGCGCGCTGGGCTCC